TAGTTATTAGAATTTAGATTCTGCCGATTCTGTCTCTTGATTTAAGTTACTGCACTGTCTGCAATACCGCGTCTATCTCATAAAATCTATTGGAGCATTGTGATTTGAACCTGTAATAGATCTACACTTACCGTCGCCAAGTGACGATCGATCTCCGCTGAACCAAGAGCGTCCGAAGAGCCGGATTTAGGGGATTCCACAAAAAAGGGGCCTCCACAATAGAGACTTCAAAGAAAAAAAGTTTCAAATTCAGACCACTAGTAAACAACTTTTTTAACTTTGGCGTTTTACCTTCACCTACAGTACTTTGTAAAAGTAAAGTAACAGCTATACATGTCCCACTGCTGGGCAAAGGCCTCCTCTATATAGAGGGTATCAGGGCATAGTCCACCACGCGGCCCCACTGCGGATTGGCGGACTATATATCTTCGAAATATATATATATTTTTTTGTTATTATTTCGAAAACATGCAGGTTTCCTCACGATGTTTTCCTTCACCGCGGAGCACGTGATAAGTCAGCACTTAAAGTCAAAAACTTCATTGGTGCCGGCACCGGGGTTCGAACTCAGATTGCTCGAGTATATTGGATTAAAGGCGAGCGCCCGGACACTGACCTATCACGGTACTTTGTACAAAAATGATTACATTAAATATTAACAGATACCATCGATCTAGATTACTTCACTCCAATCCGGCAATCAGTAAAACATCAAAATTATTTGGGGCCAAGGGGCCTCCACTCCTTTCTTGCCCCGAGGCCTCCAGACCGCTAAGTTCGGCCCTGGGCGTCCGCGCTATCGTCCGGGGTCCATTGGCCCGCAATAATGGGGATTCATTTTTCACGAGCCCCGTGTACCGATGACAGTGCATCCATTCCGCCCGCCGTAGTACGCCGGCACGCTCGCCGAATCCAATATGCATCTGCCTCCCCGCCGACAAGACAGGTATACACCGCTTTATATATGGCCCGCCGCTTTGTGAGCTCGCCACGATTCGTTTAAGTACGACAACGGTGTTGTTAAGTGTTACTCATAGATGCCGTGATAGCTCAGTGTCCTGGCGCTCGCCTTTAATTTAATATACTCGAGCAACCTGAGTTCGATCCCCGGTGCCAGCACCAATGAAATTCTCAATTTTAAGTGCTGAATTATCTCGTGCTCAGCGCTGAAGGAAAACATCGTGAGGAAACCAGCATATTTTCGAAATAATAACAAAAAATATTTCGAAGATATGTGAAGTCCACCAGTCTGCAGTGGGGCCGCGCGGTGGACTACGCCCTGATACCCTTTGTACTGAGGAGGTCTTTGCCCAGCTGTGGGACATGTATAGGCTGATACTTTACTTTTTTTTACTACTATCGGTCTGCAACGGGACATAGAACTTTAAATAAACAGGACCTAAGAAAGAGTGGAAGACGTGAGTAATAAACATATTTGATAGAACGAGAAAACAAATCTATAATGTAATAAGGACAGGTGTTCTAAGTCAAAAAAGTTCTCACTTGATGATATGTGTTGCTCCCTCAATTTAAATCCGTGGCGCAATTGCCAAGATATTGGCTTCGACGTCGAAGGTCGTGGGTTCAATCCCCACACGGAACAACTATTTGTGTTGACCCACTGATAGTTGTTTCGCATCTGGGTGTTTGTCCACGTGACATTTATGTTTGTAAAACATCCTTACAACACAGGATAATGTTTATAATGTTATCGTTACAACACAAGTTATTATATAGGTATATAATGTTAAAGTAAGAGCAATATTAAAAAAATCTCTCAATCAGCCTATTTCAGTCGACGGCGTGACATAGGCCTCCCCAAGCACACCCCACAGTGTACGATCTTCCATTTTCCTCATCCAGACTCTACCAGACCTGTCTCAGGTTGTCAGTACACCTGACAGGGATACGTCCCACACTATGTGTTGCCCGTTACTGTAATAAGAAAACTATCCAAGCCAATCCCCGCTTCAAACTGTTCACCCTTGTCATCAAACTTTCTCCCTCGTTCTCTCTCTCTTCAAACACATTCTTGCACTTTTAGAAACCTTAACTTACAGATTATATTATCAACGCCAATTTATAATCTGTTCAGTCAGTACCTAATAGTTGATTTACACTGAATG